TAATTCAAAATCTATTAGAATGCAAGCTATTTGATAAAACTGTAAATGAAAATTTTTGACATCCTCCTTTCAATCAGTCACCAAATAATTAAGGGTGTGGAAAACATAAATAACATAATTAGTAGTGCTTATATAGCAAACAGATACTACGCATATTCTTTCAAAAGTCCATTAAGTAGTAATAAAAATTGATCATATAGCAGTCAACAAACAATTTCCCCATAAATTCTATAAACTAGATACCATAAAAGCAGTGATATCCATAAATTTTACCGAAGTAGAAAAGACAGCCACTCTATCCCGCAGAAAATAAAAGCAGACCACATTCCTCTCAATAGACCATGAATCAAACAAGGAAAATTAAAATTTAAAACAATGTAAAGATGAATTAGACATTAATAAAAATAAGAACATTACTTGCCAAAGTCTGTGACATATGGCCAAAGAAGTACCTAAGGAAAAAAAATTTGTAAATCAAATTCAACTGAAGAAGCCGAAAGACCAGGCCAGCCCAGACCACCTATACAAAATATACCTGAGAATGTTGCTAAGAATCTACAAGTTTGAAGGAAGAAACTCATGAAAGTGGATGGAGATAGAGGTAAGGAAGAAACTAATTTTTCAGTATGTACCCTGTGATACTTTTTGAATATTTTACCATGTGCATACAAAGACAAACAATGAAATCATCCAGAAATAATCAAGTGTGAATACTGTATTTGCTACCAGTGTTTTCTTTATTCATATGATTGAGATCTCTAAACTAAAGCATAGTCTCATACTGTTTTCATAACAAAATGAGTTCCTGGTGCTTGATGGTATAATAAATATAAAATGTGAAATAAGAAAGGAAATGGAAAAAAAATAGAAGAAGATACATTTCAAGGTGGTAGCAAAGGTTTTTAAATTTAATTTAATTTTTAACATAAACAATGGATTTAAAGTGTGAGAAGATTGATCATTTCTAGTATGTTTTATATTTTTCTTTTTCTAGAAGTAGCATTACATTAAAAAAAATGAACAAAACCCAGCAAAATAAATTATTTAATCAATTTTCCAGTATCATTTTTGAAATATTCTTTCTCATTCCCAGATGAATTGTGATGCTGTCTTTTCTCATTTAGTTGTTCTGTATACTGAGAATGACAACTGTTGCTCTAGCCAAGGGCGTATTTACTTAACTACAGAAAGGATTGTACATTCACAGAAAAGATTGCACTTTTCTACAGGAAGGAGTTAAGGCAGAATACCCCCAAAACATAGAAGTCAGAGAAGATAGAAAAGCAGAATGTGGACATAAAGTAGTGCCTAGAATGAGGCTAAAAATATACACTTCTTAAAGAGATGAGCATAATTTTGGTTCTAAATGGTCTAGAGATCAGAGAAACAAAGAAACGTAGTAAATTACACAATTAACAGCATCCTCCCTCCACCCCCACCCAAAGGAACAGATTGTTTAAGACTAGGACTATATTTAGAACTAAATTAAACAGAAAATATCCCAAACCTGGAGAGGCAAGTGATACTTTGCCATGTTCTAATTTCTAGAAGGAACTTTAAGAAGGTATCCTGTTTTGAAGATAATATTTTTTTCCCTTTGACTATTGGAATTGGAATTTTCTACCTCCTCCTTTCTATTTGTTTCTTTTCCTCCTTCTTTTTCTTTTTATATTTTCTCATCAGCTTCTCCTCCTGTTCCCCTCTCCCCCTTCTTTTCTTCTTCTTCTACTGTGTGGTTAGCCATTAATCCTCCTCCAACATATTAAGGACATTAGTCTGTAGAGATTTTTTATTTGCTATCTTTGGAAGTTTTGATGTAGAGACTATGTTTTCATTGTAAAAGAAAAGTGGGTGTTTGCTTTCTTTTATTTTCTACTAGAGGCCCGGTGCACAAAATTTGTGCAGGGGGGGGGTGTCCCTCAGCCCAGCCTGTACCCTCTCCAATCTGGGACCCCTCAAGGGATGTCCGACTGCCCGTTTAGGTCCAATCCCTCTCAAAATCCAGGACTGCTGGCTCCCAACCACTCGCCTGCCTACCAGCCTGATCAATGCCTAACTGCTCCCCTGACAGCCTGATCGCCTCCAACTGCCCTCCCCTGCAGGTCTTGTCCCCCTTCCCTAACTGCCCTCCCCTGCAGGCCTGGTACCCCCCAACTGCCCTCCCCTGCACTGGTCGCCCCCAACTACCCTCCCCTGCAGGCCTGGTCCCCCCCAACTACCCTCCCCTGCAGGCCTGGTCCCCCCCCAACTGCCCTCCCCTGCAGGTCTGGTCGCCCCCAACTACCCTCCCCTGAAGGCCTGGTCCCTCCCAACTGCCCTCCCCTGCTGGCCTGATCGCCCACAATTGCCCTCCCCTGCCGGCCATCTTGTGGCAGTCATCTTGTGTCCACATGGGGGTGGCCATCTTGTGTGTTGGAGTGATGGTCAATTTTCATATTGCTTCTTTATTATATAGGATGTCCTGGCACTGTTGAATTATCATGAGAGAAATCCAATCATTGAATATTTTTTTACTAGGCCTTGAAATCATCAAGCTCTCCCATAGGAGGAGGGTGAGGAGGGGTGGTGGTGATGATGTTAACGTAGGTCTTTGACAACATCTTTATTTCTTCCAAATATTTGATCTAAGTTACTTTCTTTCATGGTCATTTTTGGTAATTTATATTGTCCTAAGCAATCATCCAGTTTTCAAATTTAATTACAAACATAACTTTCAAAGTCCTTTATATCTGTACTTATTTTCTTATTTTAATGTCTTATTTCATATGTATTTGTACTTCTCTCTTTTCCTTGTTTAGACTAGCTATTGATTTCTCTATTTTGTTGTGTTTCAAATAATCAGCTGTTTTATAATTCATTAATTTCTGACTCTCTTTTTATATTTGTTATGCTTTTATTTAGTGTGTTTTATTTCTCTACCTTTTTGAAATTGAAACTTAATTTGTTAATTTTTTATTTATCAAAATGAATTTTTATTGTTATGCACTTAACCCAGAACCACTCTCATCTCATACCTTAGGTGCAAGTGATATGTGGTGCTTTCATTATTTTTATGCTTTAAATATACCAAAATTATTATTTTTATTTCTCTGAGTCAAGAATCATTAAAGAGAGATTTTTAAAAGTTTAGCTGTTTTTGGTTCTTTATTTTTTCTGGTTTTATTTAGTATTTTCTTATCTATTTATTGTACTTTGTTCAGTTAAAGTTGTCTGTCTATACTTTGTATGTTTTATAGTTAGGATTTTTTGTGGCCTAATATATGCTGAATTTTTATAAATAGTCAATAGACACTGGTAAGTTTAATTTCTGTTTTCTGCATGTGGAGTTTGACCATTTCAATCAGCTCTCTCTTATTAATTAAGCTACTGTGGTCTTCTTTATGTTGATGATGATTATTATTCTATTTCCTGATATGAGATAACTGAAGTAAAAGTTCCTACTACCTTTGTGTTTTAATATTTCTTCTTTATTTCTTGTATTTCTCATTTATTCATTATCTTTAAGTTATATCTTTGGTGAGTGGTATTCGTGATGTCATATCTTGGTTGAGGTTTGTTACATTTATCATTATAATGGTTATGTGTTGAATGATGTTCTCCCAAAAATATTTGTTGAAGTCCTTTAGAAATAGGGTCTTTGCAAATGTATTCAAGTTAAGCAAAGGTCATAGGATAGAGACTCATCCAATATCACTGGTGGTCTTATAAAAAGGAGAAATTGTTAGATTATATAAGGTCTCTTACCTCAGTGACCTTTCATACATTATGTCCAATATTATCATCTTACCATCAAACATGATTAGAACATTTGAAGGGATCCTAACCAAGAAATCCCTATTATGATCTGAAAGAATTACAAAATCCTTCTCTAATAGATCACACTGACAGGGATTTTAGGGGGTGGGGAGGGGGACAAAATCCTTCTCTAATAGATCACACTGACAGGGATTTGAGGGGGTGGGGAGGGGGGGGGGCGCAGAGAGACCAAAACTTGAGAAAGAAAAGAAAGGAGAGAGATTTTCCCAGATGATCCTACATTCCTTTCAGATTTTATCAAAGCAATTTTATTTCTGTACTTCCAAGTAAGTTTTAAAAGTCAATTATATCTGAATTAGACATTAATTAGAAAAGAGCAATCTTTTTACCAATTATAAAAAAGCAGCAGAAACTCTAGCTTACTTATGTCTACTACTATCAAACCACCATCTGATGGCAGTATACCCTCAAATTACAGATCCCAGTTTTTAATATTTCAGATCAAACTATACTACTGAAATTATGATCAGCACAATATTCATTTATAGAGCCTGGTATTTCAAGACAATGGGATATAAATAGTTCCATGGCATAATCTTTTCTCTCAAGGAGCTCACAGTGTACTGGGGATAGAGACATATGCACAGATAATTTTAATAACAGTGTCCAATGAATATTATAGAGCCTTAGAGACAAATTCTTAGCCTAATCTGGAGATAAGGTTAGATTTTGCAAGGAGATGGCACCTGGACTGAGTTTCAATATGTCCAAATTACTAATATTAAAACACAAAGTAAAATGATAAATATTATGGAAGGGCAAAAAATGACTAGTTTGTATAAGGAAGAAATGAGGCTATTGGATTCAAAATATGAGAAAATAGTTGTACATTTCAGGCCAGATAATCCACTAAATATCAATATTTCTTGAACATTTGCTATATGCCAGGCATCCATAGAAGGACAAAATGTGCACAACCTTTGCCCTAATAAAGCTTTTCTTTTGGCGGACAAGCTGACAATAAATCCAAAATGTAATGCCAAGTAATTATATTCACACCAAAGAAGAGATAAGCAAAACAATGGCTAAAGAGGAGAGACCCAGAGATGCTTTGAGAGGTAGTGATGTTTTAGATAAGGCCATCAGGGAACACTATATGCTTACCGGAGTGATAAAATTGCATATACCAACTGTACTCATGCTTGTGGCTAAACTCTGTTAGCAAACAATGAAAATGTACTTACCAACACTTTCCCCACAATGGTCTGTGCTGAAAGTAACATTTCTATACGATCACGAAATACTCCATGGAGGTAGAGACTTTTTAAATGTTTATTACGGCTGCTCCTTGTCAAGATTAGTTTCTATAAGTGACAAAAAGGAATTGAGTGTGACCTGGATCTTGGAGAAAGTAATCTGTTTATAGATTCTCCCGTGCTGTGGTATCAGCCAGAAATTACCCCACCTATTCCAAACCAGGGAACCCTGAAGTCACTCATTCAGTATTTCAAGAGATGAACTTTATTGAGTTTGCATTGTACTGATCTTTTGCACAGGTTTTTATCTCTGAATTGCACATCTTCATCATGCTTTTCTCACACACTCCTAGTCCCGACCTCTCAAACTGACATTATTGTAATGATCAGGTTTGGGAGCGCCATGTTCTTTTTGCTCTGGGAAAAAGTATCTATCCTTTTCCATCAAGATACATGGACAAAGGAAAATCACTTACAAATTCATTTTTAGGTGATTACTTAAGTATCTGCTTTTTTGAGAGAAAAAGAAGGAAGTTTTAGCAATTTGATGCTACTTTTAGTTCCTTATCCAGTATATCTTGCTAAAAATATAATCCTTTCTCTCATTTGCAAATTGCCTGTATTTATTATATTAGGCATTTATAATTATCCTATGATGTAGACAAAGTGTGATTAAACCCATTGTATATTGGCAAGGAAGTGGAGGTATAGAGAAATTCAATGACTTGCCCACAAGCAGGCCATCAGGAAAGGATGGGGTCTAAACTAGCCTCTCTGTCTGCTGATGGTTTTGAATTACCACTGAGAAAGAGACAGCATGCTGACCGGACCCTCTGACTTTTAGAAAAGTTCACTTCGGGTAGGGCCAGGGTTTTGAAATGACTTAATTGTTCTACTCATATTTTCTGAGTGGTAGAAGAGAAGTCTCAGTAAATGACTATTGGATAGAGTTCATATCTTGATCAATGATTTGCTCTCTAATACTTATGAGTCATCATGAGCATTCCTGAGATTTTTGATAATTGATTTAAAAAATATTCAATATAACATGAATATAGAACACTCATCTTAATTTCATTATAAAATTGGAGGTGCCTTCTGTGGGAAAACAAATTGCCCTAAGATATAATAAAATCATACTTACTAATATAGTAAAACCTTTTAAAATGCACATTTGAGAAGAAAAATTATGACTCTCCAAATAATTTTAAAAGAATTTTTGTCAGTACCCATATTTGTGGCATTTTTTATAATAGGCCAACTTTCCCAAAAGCTTAGAGTAAAAATACTGCACTATTCAATTTATATTAACATAACAAATTATTGAGAAGTCACTTAACTTTTATCAAAGTCCTCAAGATTTAAGAGCAGTATTCTGGTTCCTTGGACTTCATTTCTTACCTTTTTGTAACATTTACTTTCTATTTTAAATTAAAAGATACCTCTGCACAAAAGGGTAAACAGGAATTACTTCCAAAGAAAGAAGCAACAAATACAGCAAATATTTACAGACAAATGAGTTCTCACATTTTTGTAACCACATGTAAATGAATATAATGAGGAAGAAGATATATTTCCTAGAGCAAGAGGAGTCTAAGAAGATTAAATAATTCTGCCAATTGAATTGTGCATTGAAAATAGGAAAGAAGGCTGATCCACCATACCCATTCATGTACTCTGTCAGTATTGTTAAGAAGTCAGTACCACAGAACTCTTTCCCCAATTTTTATGTTACTGTCTAAAGTCTTTAATCTAGAAATAATTAGTAATAGAATGAACTTATTTATCTATGAACTTCAATATTGGGTACTTATCTAATGCAGAAACCTGAATTCCATAATATGAGATTGCCAATGACTTTAAGTACCAAGTTATAAATTCTGTTATTTTGTGTCAATGTTTAGCATTAAGAGAACTGTTTTAAGCAACCTATCAATATTAGTTATATTGCACAGATGAAATGTGTTCTGTTAGGGAAATTACTATAATCAGAGAAACAAACAAAGTGTTTGTTTCCAAACAAGCCACACATGGCATAGTAAAACTCTTTGCTTTGGACCACTGGTAATAGAATAGCCATTATGTAGCATATAAGCAATGTCTTATATGGGTAATACATCATTATTCTCATCATCATCATTTAACAGGTGTCATTCAATAGCACCTACTCTTGCAAAACTTGTTCAGCATGAAAAGGTCTCTGCATTTGAGGCTGGATGTCATGTGCGTGTATATGTGGATGTCCATGTGTAGTTCTGTGAAAATGAGTGTGTTTGTGGAATACAAAAGGCAGTGTACATATGTGAATGCTGGATGAATGATGGATTTATGAAAGTGAGGTTGACTTTGGTTTTCCTTTTTTCCTCCCTCATAGGACCTAGCACAATTGTCATTTTTAAATTCATAACAGAGGAATATACAATGTTTGTGGGTGTATTTTTTCTGTCAGAAAAGCAATCTCTGTTTCAAGAGCTAACATGCATCATCAGCCATATAGCCATACAACACATTTCTTCTCTAAGTGGTGAGATAGGAGGCTGGCTCTATACCTGAGACCCTTGGAATAGCGGCCAGGGGATCAGCCCCTTTCTAAGGCACCAGTTCAGAGCTGGCTCTCTTAGCCTGTGAAAACTCAGTGAAGCTTTAATTATTTCCTAAACACAAACACATGTCAAACCTGTCTCTGATCTTCATACAGTGGGATCCCAAATAAGGAAACTGACCAAGAGAATTCCTGTTCCCTTGATGTTTTTCCATTTCTTTATGCCATTCCAGAGTAGCCGGGAAAGGAATAAGATGAGGAGTCCACTTAAGAAGGTCACTAAGGAGGAAAGAATAAACGCAGCTTGGATCTCGATTGTACAGGACAATTTTCCCATTTCTTCCCCATTATTATTTCGTTGCTTGGTTTGAAACATCGGGAAACTGAATGTCAGAATTCTATGATGTCATGATCACATGGTAATGATTCCAGGAATTAGAATTCAGTGTATTACAGAGTCTTAACACTGGGTGCCATGCAATGAGTGGTTCTAAGGACATGGGTTGGCTAACCACTGAGATCCTGACTCATAGGATGCTAGTGAATGAACAGAGGGAGAAAGCTGAGGTCGACAACATGGGTCTTCAGATGATGTGAATTCTAGATCTGATTTTATTATTCACTTTCTCAATGACCTTGAGGAAGTTACATGCTTTGTCACTATGGTCAATGGGCTATCTATTTGGTTTGTGCAGTCAAGCAATTTCAGGATAACTTTTTTTTTTTTTTGCATGAAATGACATCCAACCATCTGTGTGTCAGTGAGTTGGTTCTTCATCTTAACGAATGCCACATTCTCAGTAATCTTGGAAGGACAGATGATAGGACAACTTAGGATTTTAGCTTATCCTTTCAATAAGAAAGGCATGGTGTAGAATGCAGGTATTGTAGTGGGCAATTTTACCAGTGTGAACATTGGTCAATTGCTATTTGAACCCAGGGCTCTGTTCCTTTTATCTCTTCTTCTTGGGACCTTCCACTTTCTTGTTTTTATCCCTGTCCTGTCAACAAAACCTTTGGTCCAGCAGAAGCAAAGTTCAGGATGAGAGCAATTTCTTGTTTTCTCTGATGTTTTCAAAGGTGTAAGAAATATCATGCCTTTCATTGTGCATGAGTGGCCGGCAGAATGTCAGAGTGGAAGGTCCCCCCAGTTATTGTGAAGACGACCTGACATGAGGTGATGAGACCCAGAAGAAATGTCATTGTCCTTTGCTATCCACCATGACTCCATTCTGTGGAGAAGACTATTTCTAGGGGAGAAATACATTTCCTAGAACTGCTGCCACAGTTATTTTGTCACGGGGGATGTAGATGACTAGGGAAAAACTGCTGTTTGTGACTTGGTAGCAATTCAGTGTTCAGAACATGGGAGATAGATGACTTTGAAGCAACTTTACCCTTCACTATACTCTCCTTGTACTCAAGAGTTTAAAGACACAACAATAATATATACTCTTTGGGGTGCCTACTATAAGCAGAATCTTTGTCGTGTGTGTGTGTGTGTGTGTGTGTGTGTGTGTGTGTGTGTGTGTGTTGAGTAACTACTATGTGCCAGGCACTGGAGGCACAATGGTCAACAAAACAAACACAGCTCATCCCTTGATGGGCAATACAATTAACCCAGGGAGACATTTACAATTAGAAATTGGGGGAAGTGTTTTTGGGGAAATGTAGTGGAAGGAGGAACCTGACCTACATGAAGAGTCCAGAGGCTGTGTCATGTCTGAAGCTGAGGTCTGAGGCACGAGAAGGAACCAGGGGCAGTACCCTTGGTGGGCTGGAGAAGCTGGGGACATATTGTTAGACAGAGGGACTACCGTGGGCAAAGGTGGAAAAGAGATGGCACTCTGAAGAGGGTGGTTGATGGAAAGCAGTAATCCAGGAGAAGGCTGGCTGTGTATCAAGGGAACCAGATCATGCAAGGCATTGTATTCCCGTTTAAAATGAAAAAATACAAACATGCACTATCATTTGAAGGATTTTAAAGAAGGGAGTTAAATGATTGAATGCCACTCAGAGGATACCCTGGTCCAGAGTGAGAGGAGGCTAATCCAGTGAGTGTGCTGGTGGGTGGGGCAAGCAGGTGGCCAGGACGGAAGCTCTCTGCACATCTGTACATGGAGATGAGCGTGAGGATGTGTCACCGCTGACCCTACATTCCTGGCCGGTACTTCTGGGTGGTGGTTGTGGCCTTTCACTGCTACCCTTTTAAAACTAGATCTAAGAAATAAACAACACTATGCTACTGAAAATTTCTTTTTTTTTCAGATGAATGTTTTAACATGGCCATGGTTTGGTTAGAAAAATAGCTTTACTTTGTACACATCTCCATAACTTACATCTGGGCACTCAAATATTCTGGGAAATTATACTTTATAATGAGATTGAACATATGTTTCATTTTTAAAATTTACTTTCTTCAGGAAATGTGCCATACCTGAAGAAGGAAAGCACTTCAATCTTTAAGTGTATATAGCAGCACTCATGAATGTGTGTGTATATGTTTGTGTATGTTTAATGCTTCTGAAAGTAATAAATCATATTGTAAAGTTCTCTTTTAAGGGCTTATATCCATCTGTCACAAGTAATGCTATAACCCTACCTTCTTCTGTTTCTATTACCAGACCTTTAATTCTTACTCCCAAGGAACATCCACCCATCAGGCAAACACTGGTGAGGACATATAAGGCCCCAGTTCATGCAGCTAGTCAGTGACACACCACACCTAAGGTCAAGGATGAAGATGGTTTTACCTCCACGGAGCACTCACATCATAGTGAAAGCACATCACAGTAAGTGGTTTCTGGGGTAAACATCTTCTTATTGACTTAATGTATCTATCACTTTGGGAATGTTACTTAAAGTGCATTGCCTGAGTTGCTCCAGGGGTTTACATGAAGCTATTTTAGTCACCAAGTCTTTTATCTTTCACCTTCTTAGTGTTTCATTTTTGGTTTAACTCCTCAAGTTTCATGAAATAGGATAGATAGTCTATTAACCACTTTTAGAGAAAGCTTACTTTTGAAAGAAGATCATTTAATCCATATTCTATTTAGATCCATAATCTATAGAAATAGAAAAGGCACTGTACTTTTTTCTTCTGTTTATTCTAAATGGATAAACCATAGCAAGCCACTGTGGTGGGCCCTTTAATCCAATAGACTGTCTGTACTATTTTGGTGATTTTATTTTTACAAACTATCATTTCTTGAGAGGCTGATATTATAAATTATGTAATCATATTTAAAATCCATACAGAAATCTTGTTTTGTTTTTATCTTTTTTTTTCTTCAAATGTGTTGGTTTACTTCTGAAGTATAAGCCTTTGGCTGAGCTTCGTATGCTCTCCAATCTTCATTTTCTCATCAGTAAAATGAGGAGGCTGGACTGGTATTTGAGATTCTGACCGGCTTACACACACCAAGAATCTTTGATTGTTTAATCCCAGATTATGTCTCTAACAGATTATAATTATTTTTTAATATTCCAGTGTCAGATCTCATTCCCCAGATGAATTCTTTTGGAAAAAAAGAATGAGGACGCATCAATTCTGAGTTTTTTTTAAGGGGTGTCCCATTTGATAAATTAACTTGGATTTCTTCTCAGGTCTCATGGAACTACTTTCTTCAGAGGAATATGCTGAACTTGGCCACAGTCTCTTATTCCAGCTCAGAATCCAGATCCTCTTTACTCTGTGATCTGATTAGAAACGTACTAACTGGTGTGCTAGAGAGATTATTCCTTCCCCTCCCTCTCTCCAGTCTCCCATTACTTTTTCTCACTGATTTGCTTTCTTTGGTAATTCAGAGTTATGGATCATTTTGGCTATTTGCAAAGTGCATATGTGTGTCCATATGTATATCACATACATGAGGGTTTTACTTGGTGAATTGCTAAATGCAATGTGGAGAATTGCATCAACCTCTTTAATTTTCTAATTCGTAATTCATAATTAGTCTACTAAATATTTGGAGAGTGGTCTTAAAAAAATCATGGTACAGATATAACAAAAAAAGTTAAGAGGTGAACCTCCTCCATTTGGCCAGTAGATGGAAGTATTTCATAGGTAATTAACAAGCAGTAGGGTTTTGTTTGGTTTTGGTTCTGGATTTTGTTTTGTTTTTAAGAAGATGGAGGACTCATCAGGAAAAGAAGTAGACAGGAGAAATGAAAAACGGAAACCAAGCAATGAAGACCGGGACATCCAATTCTATAAAATCCAGGGCTTCCAAACTCAGTCTCACTAAAAACCCATTTTCTGTTCAGGTCCTGTTTATTCTCTGTGATTGCCCCTTTTGAAAAAAATAGATGGATAAATTAAACTCTTGATAACTGGATTTTTTTGGTGGTTGTTGTTTCTCTATGGATCCTTGAGTGTCCTAAAAATCTTGTGATGAGAAATGAATAATGCAATCAATCTCTTCAGCAATCAGGCCAGCTGAACATCAAGTTGGTGATTTCATTGGCAAAAAAGTGTTGTGTTGCTGCTCCAACCAGCCATTCTGGCCATGGTTCCAATGCAGTAGTCATCATGCCATCCTTTGCCCATCCTCTCTACTGCTCCTGTTTGGAATTATTTCTGATCTACAGTCGAATCACCAAGCATTGGCCCAGCAGCTGGTTGTATTATTCCTCTGGGTGCTGTGTGAGTATATGTTTCCCAAATCCCAATTTCAACGAACTGTGTGTATTTGAGTCTCTGGGTGTCATATCCAACTAGAAGATTCCGTTGAAAAGCTGAGTTGTCACTAACAGCATAAGAAATGAAAGCCATCATCTCAGTATCAGCTTCTCCTAGATTGGTACCTTCATCCAAACATGCCTCTCCAAAGGCTCCTGTCTCCTTGCAAGTTTTAGGGATGGAAAGACTGGGTCCATCTTTGGTTTGGAAATAATCCAGCAGGTTTTATTTATCTCAAGAGAAAAACTATGACTCTATAGATACAAAATAACTTTCTAAAAATCAAATTTATTTTAATCTACATATTTTAAAGAAAATCCAAACAAATGACATAGAGTATAAGCATGAGGCAAATAAAATGCTCTGAAATGGCTTAACGTCTTCTAAGATAGAGCCTTGCTTCCTCACCCAGCTCTAATTGTTTTTCCCATCAAAGGGCAATGTCGCCCTTTTTATAAAATTTCTGACATTCTTCATCAGTGTTGTGATTATAATTGCATTTCTCTAAAAACTGCCTCTATAAGCAATGCCCTTAATAGAGAGTTCGAATGTAATTGTTGCATTAATACCTTCATTTTCTTTCTTTTTTCAGGATATCCTTGAAGTAAGAACCTTTTGGAATATAATATGCAAAAACTATGTAGATTAGCATTGAGGTAGAAGAATTATTGAGCATTACGTCTATTTATCCCTGA